TTATAAAATCTAATTTATTTCCAACACCTACCAGGTGTTATCCCATTCTACTGAAAGAAAACCAAAGGGAAGGTGCATGACTTGTCATCATTACAACAGTAACTGTCTAAACTGATGAGGCCAGCCGGGCTCAGTGGCTCAGCCTGTAATCCCGCGCCTTTGGGAGGGTGAGGTGAGTGGATTGCCTGAGCCTGCGGGTTCGAGACCCGCCTGGGCAGCGAGACCTCATCTCTACAATAAATCAAAAAATGAGCCGGGCGTGGTAGCGCATGCCTGTGATTCCAGCTACTTGGAAGGCTGAGGCGGAAGGATCGCCGGAGCCCAGCAGGTCGAGGCTGCAGTGGCTGGGAGCGGCCACTGCACTCCAGTCTGGGCGACAGAGTGAGACTCAAACTCAAAAATAAAAAATAAATAAACTGATGAGGCCTATGTTATTGTCGGTATTCTGCTACTTAAGGATTTGGGGGTAGATGCATATCATTTGAGGGAAGTGATGAATGGAATGTTCGGCTGAACCAATCATTATGTTAATTTTAAACTTCTGCTTTGATGGAAGGAACTATGGTGGGTATTAGAGATGAGGGAGGAGGGGCACCCTTGCATTTTTTAATTCCAAATTCTTTTCATATGAGAGAAGGCAAGAAAAGGAAATTATCTGAGTTAACTAATGTTTATTAGACAGTTATTTGCCAGGAATTATGAAATGTCCGTCTTCTACACTTATCATTTAGATTTCAGTTTCTTCACTGAAAATCAAGGGGCTAGGATAGTTTTAAAGTTGTTTTTTTTTTGTTGCTTTAAATATGTAAGAGTCTAATCAATCTTCCAAACTTCATTTTTCTCAACTAGACTTTGAAGAGGTTTATAGAATTGTAGTGGACGGGGGTGGGATGTGTATGGTGGCTCACATCCGCCATTGGTGGTCGGTAAATATTATAATTTCCTTTTTTCTCTACTTCACACTATGCATATTTGTGATCAAACGTTCTTACTTAATTACTTGTAGATAAACACATTTCAATGATACTAATGCTTCTAGGGTAAGGGCCACTTCGTCACAATTTATTGCAAAATGCTAGGTTTGGAGAAGCCTGAAGATTGCTTATGCAATATTCAGTTGACGTGAAAAATTCTATTCTATTTGCTGCCAAAGAGTTTATTTCCTTTCAAATCCGGATCTTTCCTTATTCAGGTAAGTTTGCAGGAAGGCTTAGATTTCCACACACCAGATTAAATGCATTTCCTTTTCACCTGTTTAGCCTAATGGCCTTCAGTGTTATGCAGAGTGAAGAAATTATGTAGCCTCCATTCAGTAGACCTATTCGGTTTGAAAAAGAAAAGACTAATTCCAGCAGAGTCATTAAATAAAAATGAGAACGTTTAACAAAAACTAGAAAAAAAAAAGTGGGTTAAGCTTTCTCTAGAGAACACAAATTGTTTTGCTGTTTAGACTGAGATAAACTCTTCAATGCCTTTTTTTTTTTTTTGAGTTGGAGTCTCACTCAGTCACCCAGACTGGAGTGCAGTGGCCGCTCGCGGCCACCACAGCCTCGACCTGCTGGGCTCCGGCGATCCCTCCACCACAGCCTTCCAGGTAGCTGGAACTACAGGCACGCGCTACCACGCCCGGCTAATTTTTGATTTATGTAGAGATGAGGTCTCGCCAAGTTGCCCAGGCGGGTCTCGAACCCGTGGGCTCAGGCAATCCACTCACCTCAGCCTCCCAAAGGCGCGGGGATTACAGGCTGAGCCACCGAGCCCGGCTTCAATGCCTCTTAAACTGGCTTACTCTATAAAATGATCTTATGTACAGAAGTTTTCTTATAACTTCACTTTGCTGTTGATACATTTCTTTTTTATGCTAAATTTTTTGGGGGGAAATAGCTTAGAACAATGAGCTTAAAATACTGGTCTGCTTTGGGGAGAAATGGGCTTGAAAGGGATACTGTGAAATGTGGTCTACACCTTTACATATAAAAGTTAAACTGGCCCATAATCAGTATACCATGCTCTGTGATAGATTACTCACAGGCTAAATTTACAAAAGGCACAAAACAAAATTACCTTATTATCTATCTTATCCTCTTATCACCTAACATCTAGAATCTATAGGACCCAGTAAGTACAAAAACACTCTTTCGAGATGGAATATAACTGTATACAGCAGCAGCGATTCTGCTCCACTTCTAATGGGGATGAAATGTGAAATGGTCGTGTACATTCAAGGTATGAAAGTTCATTGGGTGTTGAAAAAAATGAGTGCATAAGGTATCTGGATTCCTTATTCTTGGAATAGATTATAGGGTTTTTTAGACAGTGATAATTCTCCCATGGAACCCACAGAAGTCATGAGTAACGTGTCTTGACCTCAATGTCGTACAATCTGAAAATTATCTATAGCTGCTTTTTTCATTGGTGCTAGAAAACTCAGCTTAGGCTCAATATCCATTTCTAAGCCTTTGCAAGAAAGCTTTCAATTTCTTTGACCTGCCAAAAATCTAGGTTTGGATTAAGCACACTTTACCTAGTTTTCACCACTAGTTCTTCCTGCCAGAATCTTTTCAATTCATCCTCGGCCAATGCCTGTCATCCATGGCCTGGCAACATACCCTTTCACCTCTCCACACCCCATATTTTTGCTTTACCAGTCCTTTGGCTGCCCTCCGGTTTCTTCCTTCACATACTTGTCTGGCTGGTTCCTAGAAACCTGGCAGAGATTTTTTTTCTCTGACTTAAATCTGGCTACCACACATGAAGAGCTGAGTCCAAACACTCCTCTCTCACTGCAGATCCAAATGGATCAAATTTACAAGCCAAGAGAACACTTCTATTTTTTTTTCCCCTCTAGAAACATATCACGCATGGGATTTTAAAGGAGAACGAAGAGCGGACTGACACAGAAAATAACTGGCTAGAACAGAGGCTAGGAAAAAACTACGATCGCCACAGAAAAAGCGGCACTCCTAGCTGTTCGTCCACAAGGCATCCCCCCAGCCACTTCTGCAAAGGTGAACCAGGGCAGGTATCTTTGTTCTGGGCCCTGATGCAATCCACGCTTCCACGGCTGGGCACACAGTAGGTGCTCTGTGCATAGCTGCCGAATGGTGAACGACCGGGGGAATAATTAAAGCCCGACCAGCCGATGTCATCAATTGGACCAAGTCTCCCCAACGCGCGTTCAGCGTTCCCAGACGCAGCCCCATTGTTCTGCATCCCTTTCTCCTCCTGCCTTCTCCCGTGGTTCTGTCCCCCTCCCTTTTACACACACGTCCCCACCGAAGCACCCGCCAAGCCCCGACGGGACCGATCTCGACGCTCCTCGAAGCAAGTCCCATTCGGCGGCCGCTTGTGCAAGGAGGGTCCGTCCGCTCCCCGCGGGCTCGGGGCCTCTGCAGCCGCCTTTCCCGCCCTCTCGGAGGCGAGGCGAGGCACGCACGGCCACCCTTCTCCCTCCTCCCCCCCTTGCCCTCCTTCCCTCTGCCTGGTGTCCCAGCCCGGCCCATCGCGTCCCCGGGGTCGCGGCTT